GTTTAGTGGACAAGTTGCCATTGCGGTAAGTGAAAATAAATAAACCTTGAATTTGGTTTAAATAACTATTATTGTTCCTTAACACAAGTTGTAATCAGACTTAATAATGAGAATCGGAATTTAGCAATATTTAGAAGAACATCATGAATGCTTGCCATGCTGTCTGAACCTAACACAATGCTTTCTCATACATTTTTTCTTAGGTTCGGATGTGCATGGTAAGCGTTACTTTGAAATTTTTTAATATTTGCAAGCTAATCAATCAATATAACATATCTAAACTTATTAAATATATTTTGCTATTATATAATTAATATAAGTATCTCACTTCATTTATCTCCATAGACATTATTTGCGCAAGCATTTTTACAATCTCAATCTTTGTTTCTTAAAATGTTTTTGCCAACCAACTTATGTATACCAATATTTGAAAAAAATGGATCAACATTTTTATTAAATTTATCAATGAATGTGTACTCGAAATCAATCTTCAGTTTTGTGATTCAATCCAGACATTATATTCTTTCATTTTTCCGAATTATTTATTTTCAGCTATTCTTGATTTTTTGTTGTAAAAGTAATATGACTTGATTCGCATTCACATATTTTATATTCTACAATTGTCGAGATACTTTTTGGGTGCTGATGCAATTTATTATCTTAGCATCTGGTACATCCTTATTGCCATAATCACATAATTACAATTAATAATATCTAGAGTGAATATTAACTAAACTCGTTTTCTACTTTTATATATCTACTTTATATATTTATTTATATTTATATTTTTATTACGGATACAGGATTAAATTTAGTAAGTACAGAAAATAAATTATCTTAATTGAATTAATTACAGTAAAATACAAATATAAAACAATATTAGGCCTAACATTAGTAATATCTAATACAATAACTTGGAGAAAAAAAAGTTATAATATTGAAAAAGTCTATTTAAGGCTTGTAGATCTTGACATTCTTATGGTAAAAAAAATCCTTTAAATATTCATTAAGCAATTTTTATTTGAGTCCCATATCTGGAAAATAAAAATTAAGAGCAGTAACAAAAAAGAATATAATATGAAAATAATTGTACTAATAAAATACTTAGGGTAGAAAAATGTTAAAATAATTTGGAATAAAAATTAGAAAAAGTATGGAAAAGGGAAAAAATAATTGTAACTGTTGAAAAAAAAGCATCAAATATTATCAGTAGGCATTTCATTATCAAAATATTGTTTGATATCGAAATTGGCAAACTCAGAAGTATTGTAGAAACTTTGGGCTTTTAAAAGTTCAACAATGGCACTATGAAATTGACGATCATTCAATTTCCTAACATGTAGTAGGAGTAGATTAAAAAGCTGTACTCCTCTTCCGTCTATGGTATTGAAAGATGTTTCAATTTTAAAAGTTGGTTCTTTTATAGTCAAATTTATTGTTTTATAGTAGGAATTCAACATGGAGGATAGGTTGAAGCGTTCAGGATTATTCTTTATGAATGACAACGTAACTAACTTTTGATTTTAGAATCCCCAACATGAAGCAGGTTTTTGTTAACTTAGGTACAAGTATGGAATGAATATGATTGTTCCAGTTCAAGTTTTTTTGTAATTGGATGCCTAGAAATTTAAAGACTGAGGAAAATTCAAATTGAACGCTATTGATAGTTAAAGAATTGATCTCAAGACTTATCCTGTTTACTGTTTGAAAAGACATAATTTAATACAAAGAAAACTTGTGTAAGGGCCTTTTTGTTCGAATTTTGGCGTCAAACCAATCGCAACGACTTGAAACATCCCGAAAATATTCATTATATCTTTTATCCAGGTTAGATGTGTTCGTCCAACAAAAGAAATCATCCTGCACGCCCTCGAGCTGGATATCGACGAAAAAAACCTCCAAGTATTGGAAATCATGACCAACCATGTGGAACACAAACAAAAGTCTACCAACAACACCTTGGCCTGGATCGACCGTGAGAACCTGGTCAAAAGTGCAGGGTACTTGCCAAAAGTCAATGAAACCGCTCAGAACGACTTTTATAAAATTGAACTCAACCAGGAAATGAATGTAGGAGAAACTTATGTGGTGATGATCAAATTTACTGGACTGATTAAGGAGACCCTGTCGGGATATTATAGATGCAGTTATAAGAAGGAGAATGGTGAAAAAGAGTGAGTGGGTGATGGATATAGGGTTAAAAGGTTCAATTTGACCAAATTTTATTTTTTCAGGTGGCTTTCGGTGACCCAATTTGAGCCCACAGATGCCAGGAGGGCTTTTCCTTGTTTTGATGAACCTGACATGAAGGCAACTTTCGATATTAATATGTTACATCGAAAAAAGTACAGGGCCATCAGTAATGCACCAGCTGTTAGCATCACTGAAATGTGAGTAGATAAAAGAACTGGGTATAACTATCCACCTGCCTATCTGTCTACTTAAATTATTTATCTGTCAATCTTTAATAAGCCTCTAAGTTGTCCCTAATATTAAGTTGCTGGTCTATTTCTTCAGGATGGACAATCCAGATTGGCTGTGGACGAATTTCACAACAACTCCAAAAATGTCGACATACCTGGTGTTTTTCATGGTCTCGGATTTTGAAGTTAGGGATGTTACAAAATTTGATTACAAATTTGAGGTCTATGCTATGCCAAGGGCCATCAACCAGGTAAAAAAATATGCAAAAAACTTGTTCGACTTGACTAAAATATTGTAGATTGTCTGAACATGTTGTGAGGTGTCTAAGAATATTGTAAACTGCCTGGAAATGTTGTAAATTATTTGCAAGAGTTGTAAATTTGTTTATTTATTTATTTATATTCATGTTGCCATTATAAATCACAGTACTCGCTTTCAATTTAATATGAATTGTATTATCTAATCATGCCATAAATCATGCATTGCCACTGTTATATCCTTGCGACTTAAAAGTACTTTTAGAGGACATATTTTATGTCTATAAATTATTTAAACAAGCATGAATATACATATACATGCACACACTCACGAAAACATTTATACACAGATAGGAATTCACATATGCATATATGAAATACAATATTTATTTTTTTATTTATTTATTTTAAATATATAGTCCACAGATTTTTTCCAAGAGGACTCAAAAATACAATTATTTTAGATAATGAATAACAATTAAAATATATACAAAATTACAATATATAGTTATGAACATGAAAATGCTTAATATAAAATTACATATAATGCAAAATTTAACAATATTATTTATAAACAGAATAAGATAAAATAATGAGATATTTGAAAAGAAAATATAAAGGTTGACTTGTGCAGATGGAGATTATTTGATTAGGTGAAGTGTTGTGAATATCTATTTCATTATTAATTAAGTTAAAGTTAGAGGACATAAGTAAAATAGGCGAATTTAAGAGAGAATTAAATTTAGGAGTAGGATAATTGAAAAATAATTGTGAACATTAAAGGATAGTTGGTTAAGAATGAGAGGACAGTCTATAGAATTATTGCAAAGCTTAAATAAGAACATAATTGTACAGATAAATCAACGTGAGGCAAGAGAAGGAATACCAAATTCTTTTAGTAAAGTGTTGTGGTCAGGGTAAATTTTATATGTTTTATAATAAAGATATTTCAGAAATCTTCGCTAAACCTTCTCTATCGCATCAGAGTTGTTGATTTGATGAGGATACCAAATAATCGAACCATATTCTAATTTTGAACGTACAATAGAATAGTACATGCAAAGAAGTGCATTGTTAGAACTGAATTGTTTACAATTTCTCAGTATCAAACCTAGAGATTTATGTGCCATATTACAAATATCAGTTATATGTTCCGTGAAAAACAAACCAGAATCAAATAGAACTCCTAAATCTGAAATTTTATTACATCTATCAACGCTGGTGTTAGAAATTTTATAATCAAAATGTATTGGAACGCGCTTATGTGAATAACTAAGAATCTTGCACTTTGATATATTTAAATGTAATTTGTTAAAGAGACACCAAGAGTGGAAAGAGTCAAGTTGAGACTGTAATAATAAAGCAGTCATCAATAGAATTTATTTTGAGATATAGTTTGAGATCATCTGCAAATAATAAATGTGGACATCCAATAATATCAGATATGTCATTAATAAAAATAATAAATAGTAGTGGACCAAGAATGAATCCCTGAGGAACACCTGAACTGATATTTTCAATGTTGCTCAAGAATCCATTAAGATAGACAAATTGTATACGATTATGAAAATAACTCTTAAAAAAATAAATAAGTGAAGATCTAAGACCAATCTTAGATAATTTAGTAAGAAGAATGTTATAAAAATACTTGTTAATATGCAAGTTACAAGAAAAAACTATATGTTCTAATTAACATTCTAAATTCATATTGTGATTTTATTTAAGTCGAAGTTTGTAAAGACACATTTTTTATTTCAAACACATATTTGAGATCTGAAGTACTATACCAAAATTACTTTAATAAAACAAACTAGAAAAACTAATGTGAATAAAGAAAAATTACAATTCGTGGCAGTTCAAGTATTAATTATGATTGTAAGTGCATTTCAAAATAAATATGACAGAAAATTTATTATAGTAAAATATATCAATATATACAAATTTTGAAAACAAAATGAACATCTCAAATATGTGTTACCATCTATCCTGTAATATATTACAGTAAAATTTAATATAAATTACATTACTATAGTTAAAAATAAGAAGTCTTAATATGCAGTTAACGTCCAAATTTAACGCTTTGGAGGCACCATATAATTCAAATAATCCCTATAACATTTTATCGATTAAATTTATAAAATCAATTTTGAGATTTACAACATAAAACAAAGGCCAGCAATGATAAAAGATTTTTTAGTTTATCGCCTTATTAAATTATCATGAAGTGTTGTAGATAGTCTAAAAATGTTACAATTGGGGCACAAAAGAATTCAACACATGTACTCTTTTAAAAATTCTAATATTTGTCCTTACTTACAGACCAATTTTGCCCTCAGAGAGTCTCCAAACATTCTCAACGAACTGACCCAGTATTTATACACACCATATGCCCTCCAAAAGTGGCCCGTTAAAATGATTGCAGTGCCGGAATTTTCTGCAGGTAATAAAATTGACAATGAAATGATACCTTATTTTACATCAGATATTATATTTATATTACGTATACAGGATTGAATTTTGTAATTACAGAAAATAAATTATCTTAATTGAATTAATTACAGTAAAATACAACTATAAAACAATATTAAGCCTAACATTAGTATAATTTAATACAATAACTTGAAGAAAAAATTGTTATAATATTGAAATAGTTTATTTAAGGCTTGTAGATCTTGAGATTCTTCTTATGGTAAAAAAAATCCTTTAAATATCCGTCATGCAATTTTATTTGAGTCCCATATCTGGAAAATAATAATTAAGCGCAGTATCAAAAAAGAATATAATATGAAAATAATTGCAATGATGAAATACTTAGGGTAGAAAAATGTTAAAATAATTTGGAATAAAAATTCGAAAAAGTATGGAAAAGGGAAAAAATAATTGTAACTGTTGGAAAAAAAAGTATCAAATATTTATCAGTAGGCATTTCATTATAAAAATAATGTTTGATATCGAAATTGGCAAACTCAGAAGTTTCGTAGAAACTTTGGGCTTTTAAAAGTTTAAGAATGCTATTATGAAATTGACGATCATTCAATTTCCTAACATATAGTGAGAATAGATTAAAAAGCTGTACTCCTCTTCCGTCTATGGTATTGAAAGATGTTTCAAGTTTAAAAGTTGGTCCTTTTATAGTCAAATTTCTTGTTTTTTAATAGAAATTCAACATGGAGGATAGGTTGAAGCGTTCAGGATTTATCTTAATGAATGACAACGTAATTAGCAAAAATATATAGGGAACAGTGAGAATGTTAAATAGTCGATAAAGATTCCTACATGAGTGCAAGGAACTGAGGGAAAAAAATATTCTTAATGCTCTTTTCTGTATTTTGAATATATCCTTTAAGGATGACGAGAATCCCCAGAATTGTATTCCATATGCGAGATGGAATAGAAATTAGAATAATAAATTTAAAGAAGGCAATTTAAACTAAATTTAGATTTTAGAATCCTCAACATGAAACAGGTTTTTGTTAACTTAGGTACAAGTATGGAGTGAATATGATTGTCCCAGTTTAAGTTTTTGTGTAATTGGATGCCTAGAAATTTTGAGACTGAGGAAAATTCAAATTTAATGCTATTGATAGTTAAAGAATTGATCTCATGACTTATCCTATTTACTGTTCGAAAAGACATAATTTGGGTTTTGTCATTATATTGAGCAAAAGATTATTAGAATTTAATCAATTCATAATTAGTATTAATTTATTATTCACTTCTTCTGAAGAATTGCTTTTTATAATCACACTAGTGTCATCGGCAAAAAGAATAAATTTACAGAGGTCTGTACATTTTGGCAGATCGTTTATGTAGATGAGAAATAATAATGGTCCGAGAATTGAGCCCTGAGGGACACCAAGCTTAATATTTTGTTTGTCTGAGATAATTACTCAACCACGATCATTCAGATAAACAGATTGAGTCCTATTTGATAAGTACGATGAAAATAATTCAAGAGCTTTACCATGCACACCGTATTTTTCGAACTTGTTTAAAAAAAATTCATGAGAGATGCAATCAAAAGCTTTGGACAAGTCACAGAAAACTGCAATGCAGAAACTACCATTAATTGTATCAATTGTAAAATTTTAGGTGCTATGGAGAATTGGGGAGCAGTGACTTTTAGAGAGTCTTTACTCCTGTACGATGATGTTGCGAGTGACACCAAGAGTAGATATTCGATTGTTTCGGTAGGTAAACATCCACTTATACCAGTCTAATTATTATTTTTTGAATTGCTCAGTATCCAGTATCAAAATTCAGAATCCTTTGCATTACCCAGAAAAGTTTAGACAAGTTTTAGTATCTTTAGTCTTATTTTTCCTTTTCCAGGTGATTGCCCACGAACTGACCCACCAGTGGCTGGGCAACCTAGTCACCCTCAAATGGTGGAATGATTTATGGTTGAACGAAGGGGTAACCACCTACGTCACTGGTCTAATAGTGGAGCAAGTGCATCCAGAATGGAACTCTCTTCTGGAAAACACTGCCAAAACGGTCATGAGTTTGCTGGAAGTTGACTCGTTGAAGGGATCCCATCAGGTGATAAATGGAAATTATACTTTATGATAATTTAGGTCAGATATATATTGTTTTTTTTTTTGGTTTAGGTGTCTGTAAAAATTGATAATCCAAATGATATTGGCCAGATTTTTGATTCTATATCGTACAGTAAAGGAAGTATGATTTTGAGGATGCTGGATTTGATTTTGGCTGATAATATATTCAGACTAGGTTTGAAAAGGTATTTAGATCTAATTCATATTTTACCAATTGTAGTACAAATAGTATGAGAATGTACTCACTTCATAGACAAATCAGTGCGAGTGACAATTTTATACAATTTTGTTTATAATTTGGAAGTTAATTATTGCAAGTTGATACTGTCTTAAGATAAATTGAAGATAATTTTATTATCTATAAGTCCATCAAAGACAGTATTTAGATACAATTAATATTCCGCCAGTTGTAGTGCAAATAGTATGAGAATGTACTCACTAGGGTTTGTCTGTATTCAAAAACCGGTTTTGAAACCCGTTTTTTTGACAAAAATTATAGAATTCGAAAACCGGTTTTTTAGTAAAAAAAGTCGTTTTTCACTGTATAAATGGAAAATGACAAATATAGCCAAATATAAAAGATAGATGAAAGCGTTTTGATTCTTGAAAACATATCGTTTCAATAGCAATTGATATCTTAACAATCTGCAATGGTTTCCAGAAAGGTTTTGTATATAATAATTTAGATTTTTATACCAGTATATATATATTAATTTAAATCAGTGTGACTTCTTCTTGAAGAAGTAACTTCCTCTACTCAAACTTAAAAAAAAAGAGTTTTAACCTCTAGAAGCGACAAACTAAAGAACAAAAAACTTAGTATTATTATATTAGGCTTTAAAAACATTTAAGCATAATTTGGTCGCAAGTATAAGAGTATTTTCTATTTCAGGAAATTTTGTGAGTAAACAAAGGACACGTTTAAGTAGCAATTCGACATACGTTTATAAAATTAATTAATTAAAATTGCTTGGAACAGAAATAATAGTTTACCCTAATTGTTTTTAAAACTAAAATTGATATTAACAAGTATGTATCATAATGTATCTAATATTTCTTTATTTTTTTAAATCATATTAAGTTTTTTTAAATCATATTATATTAAACAAAAAATAATTAGAATGTTTAAAATTAATTAATTAAAATTGCTCGGAACAGAAATAATAGTTTAGCCTAATTGTTTTTGAAACTAAAATTAATATTAACAAGTATGTATCAACATGTATCTAATATTTCTTTTTTTTTTATTATTTAATATTTTTTTTTTTATTTAAATGTATTATTTTTATTTATTCAAAAGCTTTCCTTTGACTATCATAAAAATATTTTCATTCTTATATGTGAAAATGATGCATGAATAACGAATAATTATTTTCAAAGTTATTTAATCAGGATAAACTATTATTTTTTAGTTCTTCTAATTAAAATTAAAATAATTTTGTTTACTATCTATAAAATTGAACAATAAATAAATTCAGTCAAATACTACTCTAAATTACACTAAATTTGCGGATAAATTACAAAATATTCGAACAAAAATTTATTATTTATATAAAATTCGAAAACCGGTTTTTTAGTAAAATGAAAATTCGAAAACCGGTTTTCTGAAATGTTGGTTTTTGTATAAACCCTAGTAACTCACTTTGTAGACAAATCAGTCCGAGTGCAAAAATTTATCATTTTTTCCTTTTCCAGTTATTTATCGGAGCACGCTTATTCTAATGCCCAAAAGGACGATTTATGGAAGCACCTATCAGCAAGTTATAGAAAGAAATTGGACAAAAATGAAACCAAGTGCACACAGGACGACCTCAAAATTTTGAGCAGGGATGATGGAGTAAAAACTATAATGGATTCCTGGACTCTGCAGACTGGTTATCCCCTTATTAACGTTAAAAGGAACTATGAGAAAGACACTGCCTACATCACACAGGTAAAGGGTAAAAGATAGTTTTTAAACCTGTTTAATATTTTATTACCATTATCCTTTATCCAGGAGCGTTACCTGTTGCAACGCATGTTCCGAAACAACTCCTGCAAAAATGCAACATACAAACATGAGAAAGATGATTCTTCCGATAATAAACAATGCTGGTACGTTCCTTTAAGTTACACCACTGAATCTGAGAAAGACTTCAACAACACCAGGCCCAGAAAGTGGTTGGTCTGTCCAGAAAATATGAAGTACGACAGGAAAAGGAATCTGAGGAGTGATAATATGATTAGTTTGGGATTCGATAATAACAGTACTGATGATGAGGAAGATGATTATAGATATAATAAGACTGGTGCAGATGTTTGGAAGAATTATGGTGAAGATGAAGATGTCGATTTGCCAGGGACTGCCACATTGAAGGATATGCCGGGGAAGGATCAGTGGGTTATATTTAATATACAAATGGCAGGTGAGTGGATGAATTTAAATTTTAGAATATGAGCTTTATTAACTTCCCGTAGGGTAAGTTATTGTAACGGGCCGAAAATCGGAATTGAAATTTTTTGAAGGTTTCTGAACATTTTGGCATACCTCAGAAAAAATGGATGTGTGTGTGTGTGTGTGTATGTATGTATGGATACAAATTTCCAGTCACGTTTTAGGGCGCACAGATCAACCGATTTGAATGGTTCAAAAAACATTCGATTCCTATTGATAGGGAAAAGAGCTGATTAGTTTTTGGCAAAGGCAGGTCCAGCCGTTTCGGAGATACGGAGCAAAGAGTGCAGAAAATAGAAATCGAATTTTTGAAGGAAAGGAGTATCCGATTTGAATGATCTAAAAAACATTCAATTAGAAATGATTGGGAGAAGTGTTTATTAGTTTTTGGCAAAGGCAGGCCCAGCCATTTCGAAGATACAGAGCTAAATATGTAAAAAATGGCAGTTTTTGAGAGAACTAAGCGTCCGATTTAAATGATTCAAAGAACTTTCAGCTTGTCTTAACAAAATAATTGATTTTGGAAAAAAAAATTTTGTTAAATTTTTTTTTTTTTTTTAGTTTTTTGTATATCGAAAATATTCCAGATTTTATTTTTAATTCTGACTATAGTTCTAATATACTTTACAAATAATTTCAACTCTGCAATTCAGTTTATATAATTCTTATAAATATTAGACAATGTTACAATATTTATAATAATCTATTTGAAAACATTCAGTATTCCTCGAACATTTCGTTACGGTACGGAAAGTTCCAGCAATTTGCCTTAAGGCACGATGCCACCCACCCCACTAGTTTACTTTTTTTTTACTAAATTCTGGAAGGAGAAGTTTGGGTTTTTGCCATAAAGTATGAATTGCCTGAATTTTTTTCTTTCGCTATACGATTTGAATTATAATTTTTTTTTGTAAATAAAACATTATTTGTAATGATTATAATCTATGTTGAAGAAAAATAACAATTTTTAAAAAATCTTAAGACCACACTGTTTGTACTACAATCTTGTAATTTTGCTAAATACTACAAACTTTTTTTTTGTCATACAACCTTAACAAAAAGAGATTATATATAATATATTTATATTAGATATATCGTCTAAAGCATAAATGCTCTTGATTACTTAACACAAATTGTTCATCTATACTAAATTTTTTTTTTCATATTTTTAGGTATCTACAGAGTGAATTACGATTTGCAAAATTGGGAGAAATTAATTTTATATCTTCAATCAGAAAATTATGACAAAATACACATTTTGAATCGAGTACAACTCATTGATGATTCTCTGGACTTGGCCTGGTAATTTATTTATTTATATAATGTAGAATAATATAAATAATAATAAATTTTCTTAGGACTGGAGATCAGGATTATTCTGTAGCTTTAAAACTGGTCTCATATTTGAAACAAGAAACAGAATATATAGCTTGGAACTGCGCATTAAAAAATTTGGCCAAGCTTAAAAAAGCTTTGATGTATGGGGATGAGTTTCCTCTGTTTGAGGTAATAAATGATTAATAATCCTAATTTATAAAAAAATGTCACAATTTTAATTATATATTATACTAACTGTTTGAGAATACAAAAGAACAAGAGCAAAATTACAATAAAGCTAATTAAAATTCTTTAAATTTAGTAAATAGTGTGAGAGCTAATACCATTTTTATCTGTATTCATTAAAGTACTGGCGGGGCTAATATAATATTTCACTCACTCATCTATGACTAATATTTTGTATTTATTATTTGCAGAAATATATAAGCCAATTTATATCACCAATGTATGAACGATTGGGTGGTATTTCTCATCAGTTAAAAATCAAAAAGGGCAAATCGGCAGAAAGAGAAAATCTTACAGGTTAATATATAAATTATATATATATATATATATATATATATATATATATATATATAGTATGGTATCAATTGTATTTTTTACAAAAGTTGTAAATCCAAATCTACCAATGTATTTCAAATATCATTCTTATCATTTGCAGACCATTCTCGGCCTGAAGACATTGTGAAACACCGAATCCTGATCTCGTCCTGGGCATGCAGATATGCAATTTCAGATTGCAGACAAAAGGCAGTATCGTATTTTGAAGAATTCATGAACGCTCACAAAACTAAAAGTGACAGGGCAGCTGATGTGTAAAGGACCACTGTGTAATAATTAATAAAATAATAAACTCAGAATGTTTATTCTTGTGTTTTGTTTTCAGGATTCCTGCAGACATTGTGTCTATAGTTTACTGTACTGCTGTTCGATTTTCAGACCAGGTGAATAAGAAAATTAGGAGTGAAACATCTGATGATACCAGAAGAAAAGGTACGTACAGACATCTAGTAGTGTGTTATTTACCAGAAAATGGTTATTGAGTTTTTTATCCTGCAGGTTTTCACAATCATCCGGTGGTCAGAACTTACAGCACAAATAAAAATAATACTGATAAAAATTCCTCTTTATCATTTGAACTTTTAACAGATGAATGTACCAGCCAAGATGTAGAGAACGTAACATCAGCTAGTGCTTTTGAATTTTTATGGAATTTAGCTGGAGATAGTAATCTGGCACAGACGCAAGTTTTGGCTATTTTGAAGGCTTTGGCTTGCACTACGGATAAAGATAAGGCTCTCAGGTATTGCAGATTCATCAATTGTCCTGAAAATGTTGTAAATTGTATGGAAATATTGTATATTGTCTGAAAATGTTGTAAACAGTGTGAACATGTCGCAAATTGTCCAAAGAGATTATCTTCTTAGTATTGTAAATTAGTCAAAAAAATCATTACAGATTCATTTACCATATTATTAATTTTTTGCAGATATTTGAACGCTTCTTTGGATCGCAATAGTTTTATCAGGAGACAAGATGCCCAACTTGCATTCTCGGGTGTTGCTTCAAACTCTAAGACTTTTATGGTGGCCAGAAAGTTTCTATACGAAAGAATCAAAGATATATACGAATAGTAAGTATAATAAATAATAAATATTATTTTAAATAAATACCTCATTTGGTTTGTTACTAGTTTGGGTCCAAATTCAAATAAATTGGGCAGCTATGTGGATGCAGTAGCAGATCAGATCACAACACAGAAAGATTATGATGAGGTAAAAATTAATAAACATATTTAATTATGTACTATATATTTTAAAATATGTATTAATTATTTGTTATTTTAAATGGTACATTTATAGTTGGTGGAGTTCACAAAACAGAATGCAAAATATTTAGCACGTTCTCAACTGATTATTAAAAAATCATTAGAAAGTGCCCAATTAATGATACATTGGCAACAAAAGCATTACGATAGAGTGATAAAACTTTTAAAGGAATATACGCAAGATTAAGTATTATTTTTAATTACATTGACTGTGTACTAGTAAGTGCTTGTGAATAAAATAAAATACTCTTGTAGAAATACAAAGATCTATTTATTGTTCATATAATTATTATTAAATATTTCATTTTACTTCTTAAGGCTGTTAGTGATCCATTGCAAGTAAGGATCGTTCCCATTGTCTATTTTAACACTAATCACCTCGCAGCTTCATATGGGTGATCTTTTTAACAAATGCTGTAAGTTCAGGATTTTGTTCGTTTGTGTCTTGATCATACATTAGAAGTTCAGAATCCTCCTCCATTTTGCCTTGCCAGGAGTAAATGGAGATTATGTTCGGTATTATGTTGACGCAAGCAGCTAGTTTCTCTCTAAAACAGAAACAGGAGTAAAATATATGTCAGTATATATTATAAATGTATATTAATTATATACCTGAACTAAGTCCTTTGGCTATTCTTTTGCAATTTCTTGCGTAGGCACTGTGACATACGCTATGGAATGAGTGCCAGAAATGTAACTTGACATTGTTCTCGTATTATTAAGATTTTGTGTTAACGTTAATGCTCGTCGGAGCATAAAAGCTGTAATTAATAATACAGTTATGCTAATAATTTCCCTGGGCATTAAAATATATTTAAAACTTTTTTAATTTATTGGCATGACAGTTTAAACTATCGAGTAAATTTGAGGTTATATTCGATATATATTTATTTTCGATATATATATCAAAGTGTTATTAATTATTACATAATATGCTTATAAATGATCAGTTATATTAATATCAATATCCTTTTATGCATCTAAGTATATATTTTAATGGTTTTATAAATAATTGTCATGACAGTTAACCACAACAAATTAAATTAGAGGTTTTTGACTTATATTTTAAAAACAATATTAAAAAGAATTAATTGTTATTTAATATATCTTTATGAATGATTAATATAGTTCTGTAAATAATTTTTTGGCATCTAAATATATATTTTAAATATTTTACAAAATTTTGACATGACAGTTCATCATAACAAAGTTAGTTTGAGATTAACTACTATTTTTATTTATTAAACAGTGTTATTAATTGTAATATAGTATATATTATTTAGTTACTAGTATATAATTAATATTAGAGTTATATCAATAATTTGCTTACGAATTTAGATATATATTTAAATCGTTTGAAAAGTTTTGGTCTTGACAATTTCATCAAGACAAGATTGAGGTTAGAAACCATTTATATTTATTTGTAAAAACAATATTTAGCATGTTATATAGTATTATATATTTTGTTATTGGTAAATAATTAATATTAGAATTATATTAATAATTTCTTTACGAACATAAATATATATTTTAATACGGATTTGTGTCCGTTTGACAGTTAACTGCAATTTAAATTTGAGCTTTGTCAACGATTAAAAGTGTTAATAAATTTCATATATTTTTCACCAAATATACGGTTTTAATAATTTAGAGTATGTAACCTCTAATTCTTTCAGTTACAACAATGTGTACCCCAAATAAGAAGACAAAGCTATCTCATTTAACACCTTGCAGGCGAATGGGTTTAAATAGGTCTCCAAGAAACTTTACGCCACCTTTCAAAGATAAAAAAGTGCACGTTGAGAGCCCTTTGGTAGAGAATACTAATAATAATGAGTATAAGACTCCAAGGAAAGTTATTAGTAGTAGGAGTAAGAATAAACTTGTATTCGAGGATAAAGGTAACTTATAGCATGATTTAATTTTGTTACATTACTATAACATTGTTGATTTCTCTTTAATAATAATTATTTATCAATATTATAGTTATTTTAATAACATTGTTAATTCTACCACAGTTGCTAAAGGTGTTTCCGTATCGACTGAAGAAGATTTAGTATCTAATTATGTACCTGAAGATAATTATGTTGAAGCAACATCGTCTGTTGACGAAGATCGCCTTAAAGATGTGCCTTTGGTTGAAGTTTTCAATGCACATTCTGACATCAAACAAGTATTTATAACAATGCTCCTATAAGTAATCAGATTGGCAAACGTAATTTTATTATTGTTTTATTAAAACAGGTCTGCAGAACACCCAATGAACAAAATACATTTGTTCAAGCGCAAAATGATTTAATAAATGCTCTTAATACACAAGAAGACCTCAAAAAAGCCCTAGTGAACCTATTGAACTTAATTCTACTATAGTGCAAATTTAACAGACCTAGAATCATTTTTTGATGCTGCAAGTAGTAATACTTTACCAGAAGCATCCAATGGGCCAAAAATTACACAACAAGATGTCACCCAGAGTGATCTGCTGAAACTAAAGCGAGAAATTGCTTTAAAGAAAAGAAAACTTAGAGAGCTTGAAGGACTTGTTTGTGCTGATGATGTAACGGCACAAATTGCAATCTGGAAAAGTGCTACTAGAGAGATTCTAGAAGATTTATTGACATCGATGAAGAATGAGAATAACGACTGCAGAAATGTGCAAATTGTAAATATATTGAAGGCTTTAAATATTTCTTCTGAATTGATTGGGTATGATGCAGTATCCGAAGACTTTATAGATTAATTATGAAGGTTACATTATTTATATTCTTGTGATATATTAGGCATAGTTAAATTATAAACAAATACTTAATTTTCTAATTATATTATTACTTCTACATTTACATTATTATTCTATGCATAACTATGTGGTTTCAAAGGCCTTTCGGGGTCAAACAACTTCGGTTCATGCAAAAAATCAGGGTCTTTATTATAATAAGGCATAAAACCAGCAACTTGAGCCTTCACAATCTCCTGTTCCACTTGTTTTTGCTTATTAGAACACAAGCCTGTGATGTGCCTTCCATACAGGCGACCTGTGTAAGGGCTCTGAAACTGTGATAGAAGTTTAACATTTTATAATCAGGTTGTATATTGTATTTGCAGAGGATGCATTGTTGTTTTTCTTTCTGGAAAGGATTTGGTATGTCCACAGGCTCGTCTGAAGAAGTCACATTGGTTGATTGAGAGAGAGGTGTTAAGCAAATGTTTCTTTTGATGACTGTAGAGCCTGTAAAGAAAATTCGGGTAAATGGTAATGATTTAAACACATACACTACTCGAGATTTATACCATATTGTTGATATATTCTCCTAATTAAACAGTTCATGATGTAAAACAATATTAGATAGGTTATGTTTTATTGCAAACGATTGTTGATTAACCAATAGCAATGTTTATATAGGAATCTTTTCAGTGTATATATTAAATTATAAACGTTTTTATATTACATTATATTTTTAAAACGTATTTATATATAAACTTTAATGAAAAGTAACCTAATAGCGCACTGTCAAGTGTCAGTGTGTATTTTTGTGTTGGTAGTTTGCACAGATAATTTTTGTGAGCCAAATTTGAATTTGAAATGTTTATCAAACAATTTAATATTAAATATAACAATATTTATACATAGATTGCTAAAGTTTTATTAGATTTAAATCGCTATTTATATAATATAATTTGTTTGTACTTGTTTGTAACAAGTACACTTTTTTCGGAGCCAAATTTGAACCTAAAAGGCAAATGAATGAACATTTTTTATTAATATCAATTAATTAAAACAAAATGCATACATTAATTCCAATATTTGTATAAATATTTTTTCATATTCAAAATAATTTAATTAATAATTACTATATGTATTTATATACTGTACATATTTCAATTTCTACAAATTTCATTCATCATATCTCTATTTATTTTCTCAAACGATGATTCTTCCAATTTATTTATAACATCTTTAGGGACCCATTTGATTTTTGGATCAGATTCTGCAAATGGATCCTTAGATTGGACATCTAAATCCTCAATCTCATTTGGTAAAATCAATCTGAAACATTATTTGAAAATATTAATAAGTAAAATTAACCTTAGTTGCAAATTATTAATACTTTGTTTACATCTTAAGTACCTGTATGAATGTAAAAACATTCTATAAGGCCTTTTATCCTCTGATCGACCGTATGTGTAATCCCCAATTATAGGATGACCAATAAACTGACAATGGACACGTATTTGATGTCTTCTGCCTATAATTTTTATTAAATGAGCTTTAAATAATTATTATAAGGGTTTGCGCTCACCTGTGTGCGGCCTAATCAAAACTTTAGTAGCTTCTTTTCCATTATACAAGCCTTTTGATAATATCATAATTTTAGTACTTGCATCACGTGGGGACTGACAATTCTCATCAGATGCTACACACATTTTGTGGGAACCTTTCACATGCCTCCTATCTTCACCTACAAACATTAAATATTAAAACATAACAACAGACAAGTTTCTATTACATTTTACAAACCAACGCCTTGCACACGTTTGTAAATTCTTCTTCCAAATGTCCTCTGAGTAATGCCAAATAATATTTTTTGGCATGTCTTTTCTCAAAAGCTTTCACAGCTGCCGAGCATGATGTCTTTGTTATGCAATGCACATAACACCACTTGTCGAATAATCTAAACGATTTGCAAAATGGAATTCATGAAAAAATCGGAATTGGCCAAGTTTGGAAAGGTGTCTTTTAGTAACGTTTGAACAGTGGGCTAAAATAAATGATTTATTAACTTTGAATGACAGAATTGGATAATATTTACTTACTTTGACTTTGCTATCATCGCTGTTAATCAAAATATCGAATGGTTTATTGACAATAATAAAATTATCACTTTATGCAAAACGTCTAAAGAAGGCTTTTATGAGAAGAAAATAAGCAAGAGATCAATTTTTCCAGATAATTTAAAATTGGCATACGAAGTAAATATAAAAGCAATTGTAACAAAAAGTCTAACAGTAATTCGA